CTGCAAATGAAGCCAACACTGAAGAATCGAAACCTGCAGTTCCTCTAACGGCCACTAGAGGCTCCAGCAGTGAGTCAGTCTCAATTAGAGGCCGGGTCTGGATTTTATGCTTTGGATGTATAAAAACCTCTTAAAACCCACCGGGTCGCCTGCTTGAGGGAGTTCTAAGTTGCTTAGATCGCCTACACAAATATAAATGTTTCCAAGCGTGATTTGTGACATCACAAACAGTTAGGAAGTCAGCCCCGTTCTAATTTTGGTGACCCCTGACCTTTACTCTACCACTGGTAAGGCTCTAAGTTGGATTCTGACAGCCAGTTCCATTTTGGTTTTGTTTTGTTTCTTTATTCATTTGCATGTCTTCTGCTTGGCAGCTTGAACTCTGGACCCAGAGACTGAGACTAAACTCATCAGGGAGCTCATAAACCTACTGAGAAGTCGGCTCATTTCTCCATAAGACTGAATGGTATCAGTGTTTTATTGCAGCCAATGGAGCTGCCCCCTGCTGGCCGTTACATAGAATACAGGTTGAACTTACACTTACTCTGTTTATTATATATTCTGTCAATGTGTAGAAAATACATAATTTGAATTAAATTGGTTAAAACATGCAAAAAATGTCTTCTGAATTACATTTTTTCCATCAGAGAAACGTAGAAAGAAAGAGACAGTGAGAGTCTGAGAGTGGAAGTTGTGGTCTGGACAGAGGCGAGACCATAATGGCAGAGCGAGCGGAAGGGGGTGAAGGGGGGAGATTGGCATCGCTTTGTAACGCTTTCGTCCGTCCCACCAAACCCTGCTCTTATCCGCTGAGAGTGTCTCTCTTTGCTTATCAGCCTCTGATTGAAAATCACAAAGTTTTGCATAACTTCAGAAAAATGCACATAAACACCACCTTCCCCTCTGAGTCGACCGCTGGAGCAGGGCTGTGGCTCCACTCTCCGTCTGTTAGGATGAAAGCTTGAGGCAGAGATTCCAGCAGGAACAGCATTTATTCAAAATGTCCCACGTTGTTTATCTGTGAGGGACGGTCGGTTTGTACGGGTCTTTATAAACGCTCTCACATGTCTACAGAGGACAGTGTGCGATAGAGATTAAGACCAGAGGACGGCTGGTAAACGGAGACAAAGCTTCCTCTGTTCGCCGCCTCCGATAAACGCCCTCATTAGGCGAGATGTCTGGGTCAAAAGAGCAACAAACCGAAACCTTCAGCCCACATCAACCAAACACATGCATGAACCAAATTAATAAGACTAAGACTCTTTGTCCAAATGTCTGGAAGGACATCAGTGACTCCTTCACAGAGTGAGCTCAGTATTGTCACAGGCTGACAGTGTCCAGACATAAGCATGTATTACATGTATTGTAGTATTTGTACTTGGGTTGGGAAATATGTTCACATTTTCCTGACGGTGGCCAGTTGGAAAATTAGTCTGTCCACTGTTCCAACAATCACCAACTCTGCTAACGATCTAACAGAGTTACATGTGAAAATATTCTGGCTCTACGCTGTTGCTGTCTCTCTGATGCCCCCAACCTCCCTCGCTGCTCTACCTGCTTCATGCCTCTCGTCTCCTGCCCCTGCCGTACCCTCGTCTTCCTCCTGGTTGGAGCCTCTGCAAATTACCTTGCTACTATATTTCCTGTCGTCAAACTAGTGGAAATAAACGCTGAATTCCCGCAGTTAGATGTGAAGATACTGAACGTCTATCACTGAGCGGCCCTCATTCTTTGCACGAAGACCATTAAAGTAGCAAAACAATTACCCCAAAAAAACAACCGCCAATAGCCGACGTATTCATCCATTCACCCAACCCACATTTGTGCTACGATCTAAACTTATATAAGCCTAAACGTAGAGAGCCTTTAATCAAATCTTAATCCAGTATCAAATATTCTATTCAGTTTTATTTGTATAGCGTCAATTCA